ATTCACTCTATTATTATTATTTTTTAACATCTTTTTTTTGGATCAAATAGGAAAATTTCATTCATCACTATCACCAAACAAATGATATAATTTTTTTTTAACTTAAAGGATTAATTTGGAGAAGATTTTTGGTTGCCACGTGTCAATATTTATTATAAATTCATATCTCAAATTTCAGATAAGATTTTCACCCTCTAAAATTGCGCCACGTGTCATCTCTCTCTTCAAAATCCCTCTATAAAACCAGAGGCTTAACTTAGACCTCTCACACCATATCCTCTCTATCCTTTCATTTCTCATATTTTAGATTTCATAGTACACTCTCAATGTGGAACATGAGGAGATGCTTAGAGAGGCAAGAGCAAGAAATTAAAGAAAGAATGCGTAGACGAGCTAAAGAAGAAAGGGAGGAGGAAGAAGATGATGAACAAGTTACCATGGCAATGGATATGCTTGATCTATCAAGCCAAGGCCACCACCATGGATCACAAGTTGGCCGGGGCCAGAACATGGACTGATATAGGCATTCTCTATGTAAGAATCTTTTGGAAATTCACTTTATCCCAAATTCGTTGTACTCTACTATTAATTTTCGAGAGCGATATAGAATACAGCCCCATTTGTTCAATAAAATTATGCATGATGTTTGCAATTACGAGGCATACTTCGTTTAGAAATGTGATGCTACTGGGGTTTTGAGGCTTCTTTCGGAGCAAAAGCTTACAGTTTCTTTACAAATGCTGGCGTTTGACACATCTGTAGACTAGGTGGATGAGATTACTAGGATGGGAAAATCCACTATCCTAGAGAGCCTGGTCAGATTCTGTGATGTAATCAAAACTCTCTACACAAGGGATTACCTTCGCAAACCTATGCATAGGGACTTCCAAAAGCTTCTACAAAAAGCCGAAGCTTGAGGTTTCCCAGGCATGATTGGAAGCATTGACTGTATACACTGGCAATAGAAGAATTGCTCAACTGCCTAGTAAGGAGATTATGAGAATAGGAAAGGGCAAAAAAGTATTATTCTGGAAGCCGTTGCATCATTTGATACATGGATTAGGCATGTCTTTTTCGGAGTTGTGGGATCTCAAAACGACCTCAACGTGCTCGGTCAATCTCCAGTGTTCAACGATGTTTTAAGAGGTCAAGCCTATCAGATTACCTATGAAATCAACAATACCATCTACTGGAATAGGCACTACCTAGCAGATGGAATCAACCTGAGGTGGACGATATTCGTCAAAACAATTCTGCATCCTCGATCGAAGAAGGAAAAATCATTTGTTGCCTATCAAGAGGGTTATAGGAAAGATGTGGAAAGGCATTGCCTTCTCATCTGCATATATTTTCATGTCTCTCTCAATTCTCATTGTGCCATTTAGAGCAATTTGCTCCAAATTTTTTGCAGTGTCATTAGTGGAATTACTCCCTCTTTTGGCCTTCACCGCCTTTCTCCCAATAGGCCTCGGCTTCTTTTGGATTGGTGAGTCTTGATTCATTGGGGAATCCAAAGGCGAATTTGATGTCGTTGAATCATGGAGCGGCGTCTTGTTCAACACAACAGTGGGACAAGTGGGAATAATTTTGAATCTCGAAATTAAAAGATTTTTTGCCTTGGCCAATGGCACCAAACCACATTTGTGTTTGCATAATCCATTAAAAAAAAGTATTGGAAATGCAAGAAAAATTGGAAAAAAATAGGACCTTAAATTTAATAAAACGGAAATTACAAATAATTTCCCTCGTTGCCAAGATTTTCACTGCTTCTAATGTTGTCCCTCACTTTTACCAATGCATCTCTCAATTTTCCCAACTCTTTATTCAAAATTTTCCACCTACTGGCCAAGGTCATTTTCGTACGAGCAGAACCCGATCTTTCACAAAATTCGGCATGAATTTTTCTCCACATATGAGAGAACTTCATCTCATTGCCCATGATCGGACAATGACCAACTTGGACCCAACACTCAAACAACAAAACTTCTTCCATGGTTGTCCATGCCCCTCCGGCTTCGATGGAAGATGCCATTTGTATTTGAACAAAAATGAAATTTGGAAAGTGAAGAAAATTTGGTGTGAAAGTGAATAATATTGGAAGGAAAAGAAAATGTATGAAGATTTGGTGTGGAAAGTGAAGAATATTGGTAGGTATTTATAGAGAACAAAGAATTCAGAATTTTTTCGTTTTTTTTTTTTTATTTTTTAAATTTCAAAAATTTTAATTTTAATTTTAATTTTTTTTTAAAAAAAGCTGTTGGATTAGAGGACAAAAAACGATCAGACAAGCCAAGCTTCTAGCCGTTGGCAAAAATCAGGGCTGACGCCAGGCTAGCGTTAGTAGCCCCCAGACAGGAGTTCAGGCTCGTTTTGCCTTTGGGTTTGCTTGGTTTGCAAGGACCCACCTCCTGCTCGAGCCACACTTGCACGTTAGAAGCTCGAAATGGGGCTTGGGCCCTCTTTTACCTAGGCCAAACCCTTATGGCGGAAGTGCTCTAAGGAAAAGCAAAGGAGATAATGGATCACCTTGCTAAGTTCTCTCTTTGGCATGAAAGAAACTCTGGAATAGGCATTCCCACTAAGATTACAAACTCAGAACAACCAAAAATAGATAAAGCTTGAAAAAGATCAAGCCATAAAAATACAAATAAACTCTCACAATATAGAGGTGGAAAACTCTCAGAAAAGGAGATATGAAAACTACACAAAAAACCCAAAGAGTCTCTGCGACTTATTCCAAACATAAGGAAACATCAGAAATAATAGTGGTGGCCGAGCTTAGTAATGCAGGCTTGTGATCCAACGTGGGGGCAATAAAGGTGGAATGCGGAAAGTTGTTGTTAAGACATGGACAACCTATTACCCAATATGTTTCGGTTAGCTAGTGGCCTTAGATACACATGTCTAGGTTCGCCGTATGTTTCCACAAGGACTCCATTGGGCTTCTATAGTCTCTTTAGGTTTCCCGGTTGACGGGGACGTTGACGGAGTCTTTGCCCAAGATGACATTAAGGATGTTGGCTTATAAGAGAAATGATAGTGGTGGAGATCCGAAGCTAAGACACAGCCCCCTATAATGGATGGAGGAAAATCATAACAAAACGAAGATAAAAAGGGGAAAACTTATGTCACTGAAAATGGGGGAAGATAGGAGCAGGGAGGAAGAGAGAATGAATGGGAGGAAGAAGAGTGGGTTCTTCCCACCTCAAAGTAAAAACAGCGCTAGGAGTGTTTATTGGGGGAGAGGGGGCTATGATTTTTTTTTTTTTAAAAAAAATATATAGGAGTGTTTTTTCGATAAGTAGTGAGCACTTATTTATTTATTTATTTATAATGATAAGTGATAGAATGATATTGATGTGAAAAAAGCTAATACAAGAGGTTTGAACTCGTATCAAGGGCAAAGGAAGTTCTTGGTCAAGAGTTACAATCCTCATACAGTACATCAGAAATAAAATCAGGAGGTTCCTCGAACTAGTGTAGAGAAGCCCCGATATGCAAGGCAAAATGCTCTAAACGATAAGCTACACTATTAGCAGTACGACGAATATGGGTAAAACCTTCCCCAGTGACTTGTGTCAGCAAGCTCTTGGTATCCTCCATCACTAGTCCTATGACGGACCTATCTATGGAGTGACTTCGAAGTGCTATAACAATTTGGAAAGCATCACTTTCAAAGACAACATTTTGCATCACCAATACTGTACTTGTTCTTACAGCTTTTGAGCACTTTTGAAATCACTTTATAGGATGACATTATAAAGAATGTCGGTCTCCACTGGGTCATCTATTGAATTCCTTAATTGGCCATCTTCATTGTTTTCCTTTAGAAACTTAATGGCCATCTTCATTGTTTTCCTCTAGAAACTTAATTTTGGTAATCAAACTTAAGATCTCTTTCAGTATGGAAATAACTGAAATAAGGAATACCATGCTAGATAATGAAACTATATCTTAGAGTTTGAGATAAAAGACCATCTCCAAGTGAGGGCCAATTCCTAAATTATAGCCTAAAATTCTCAAAATCCATCTCCAAGAGTAGGCTACACAAAAGGCTACAAAACAAGGAAGGACTACACAAAAGGTCAATGGCCCTTTGGCCAACTCAGGCTAAATATTTTGGATAGGGCCCAGCTGACGTCACCTAGCCGTTAGATGACGTCAGCTAGTTTATTTATTTAAGTTTTATAATTATAATAAATTTTAAAAAATAATTTTTTATTATAAATACCTATCTCATTCTTACATAATTTCTCACAACATCTTCATCATTTTTCTTATTTTCCTTCCTCAATTTCATCCTTTCAGATAATTTCTCACAATCTCTTCATTATTTTACAAACTATCCTTCATCTTTTTCCATTTAAATTAATTTTTAAGTTGTTTTAAGAACAAGAAAGAATATAATCATAAATTTATAGGGCTAATCACGTGCCGACATGTGGATGTCAAAAATCCTATCCCAAAATATTTTTCTCTTCTAAAATGTGTTTTAAATAGTAGTTTGATTAAATTAACTAATAAGTTTACATAATATACTAAAAACTATTAAAATATGAAATTTAGCCTTTGTTGCCGGAGATGTTTAAAATGTAGCATGACATTATTCCTTATAAAATTATTTTTTAAAGGACTAAATGTAGCCCTCTCCACCTAGTGATGGCCTAAATACCTTCTGTGATCTCCAACTAGAACCAAGTTCAGGTTTTGTTAAATGATCCAAAAAAAGGTTTGACTTATACTTTGACACAAGTGATATTAGAAATAAAAGAATCGAACATATGACTCGGAGTGCTAAGATAAGTACTTTTAAATCCAAAGTTGGATTTTTTATAAGAAAAAAAATGAAGAAATCAATGCCACGTGGGTTAAAAAGGGCAGCAGCCAACCGGAGCAAAGTTGGTGGCTCATGGACTCATCGTAAACGTGGGTTGGGGCCCACACACCACACGCAAACGCATAGACGAAACACTCACCCACATGTCACCAAATTTCTCTTTCTTTCACTCTTCTCATTCTTTGAATAAGAATTGCACCCATTTTGCCTCTTCCAGAGCCTCAGAGAGAGACCGGGAAAGATGACTCGGGGAAAGCAGAAGATTGAAGCGCAAAAACGAAATGCGGAGAAGAATCAGAAGCAAAAAGGGTCTCAATTTGAGGCCAGAGCCGTTGCTCTCAAAATCACTTGTCCTATTTGCAAGGTCTATACCGCTCCTACCTACCTACCTAGCATATCATTTGCACCTTGGTATTATCATCATCATGATCTTCTTGGTCTTTTTTTTACCTGCATTTTTTGTGTTATGTTCCAATTTAGTTATGATGATTGATGATGAATTCTTAGTGTTACGAAACCAACCCATCAACGCAATTTCTTTTTTTTTGTTTTGTTTTGTGATATTTATATTTTGGAGCCCTCTTGAATTTTGTGATTCCATAAACAATCATAGGTCTTGAAGTTATTTTTTTTGATAGATTATACCAGAAAGGCCAAATCAATGATGAGTATTGTTTCATGTGTCAATTTGCTAGGTATATATGGGTTGATCAGTTTTCCCCTTACTTTGTTCTAGTTATTATTCTTTCTTTTTGTGTGAAAAAAGAAAGCGCTTGAAGTGACATGGTGCTAATTGCCGTGCACAGATTACAAAAGTAGAGAAAGTTTTGTATGAAGGTTCATAGTGAGATTTTATGTTCAAATAAGTGACTCTAGTTGTTATTTCGATCTAGATGTGTAAGTCGGACGAAGCAAATACAGATTTATGTTTTTCACTTTGTGGTCATTCTAGTTTTACGGACCCTAAGGAGTTCGCTAGTGTTCTTCCGGATCCAATTTGTATGATAGTTTTATTATTATTTTTTAGAACGAAAATTTATTACAGAAAGGAAAGGGAGTACATGACATGATGGACAAGAGGCTCACCAAAGACTGCTACAAAGTGAGAACAAAGAAACAGAGGAACCGAACACCCCAGAGCTCAATGAGCTGAACAATCCAGAATAATCATATTAAGGGGAACATCCTTGAGAAATTTAGACTTAAGGTGTTTTTTTATACAGATTAAGAAAGAAGTAATTTAGAGGCCAGGAAAACAGATAAGTTATATTTTATGGGATTTTGGCTTATACAGCACAATGATAGCGGACCAAGACTGTTCGTTGCAATATTCTTGTGTTTTTTGTATACATCAAGGATGGCTCCATCTGGAGTTTATATTTCTTTTAGATCAACTTACTGTTGTGAACTACCACACCCCTTGTGATGTATCACTTTGCTAGCTTGTGGTTTTGTTTCTATGCTACTTTAGTGATCGCTGCTAATAAATTTTTTTTTTTTTTTTTGGGTGCTTTGTTCAATCTTAAAACATCAGCATTAGCTTGTGGATGCTATATTTTATTGATCTCATCAAGATAAGGAACTAAAATCAGAAGACCATTTCCACAATTTATTGTTGCAGCCTTACCTTGATATCAATTTGAATAATTTATCTTTGCATTGGACTAGGGACATTTATAGGTTTTGGATAGGTTTGTTCATTGTTTTGATTGGGTTGGATGGTGACTGGGTTGAGGCGGTGAGTGGTGGTGACGGGTGTAGCAGATATGATGCTTGGTTTTTGGTTTTAATGGGACAATAGAGAAAGACAATGGTGTTGCGTAAGAATAAGAAGAGGTGGGCTGTGGTCTTGGAGGACCACAACCTCCTCCCCCCTTCACCTTCCACACTTTCCTTTTTTCAATATAATATATATTTTTTCAATTTCAAGGATTGAGCATGTGTGTTTCATTTGTGTTTTTGTTCTAGCAATGCTAGTGGAGGGAACTTATGGGAGTAAAGTTGACATGAGAGATGACTGGAAACATAGGGTGGAAAAAAATCTTCATACAATAGAGGAGCCCAAAACGTTCTGATGTCCATTAACTTTTTACTTTCAAAAAATGACATAGCATGTTTTTTGGCAGTATTTTGAAAACCTATGAGAAACTGTATACCATGCTCATCAACCAATGAATGGAAGAGTACTAAACACCCCCTTGTGAATACATCAACAAGTTGCCGTCCTGTCTTCACAAAAGGAGTGTAGATTACAGAAAAGTCTAGTTTCTCTTTGGAGTGTGAATCCACCTCAATGTGCTTAGCTTGTTCATGTTTGACTGGATTATTTTTAATGTTGATGACAACCTTGTTGTCATAATTTGTTGTCATAATATGATTTTACAGGTCCCTTGTGCACTAGGATTTTAGCCAAATGAACTCAAACCCGACTGGCTATTGGTCATGGCCCAAAACTGACCTCCTGGTGTCAAATTGGCAACCATTAACTTCTCTTTTCTGTGTCATGTTACCAAGGTTCCACCTACAAAAGAGGAGTAGTGCGATATTGGCCTCCTATTTGTGACTGAGCCAACCAATACATGTTTATATAGAATTCCACCTGTTGATGATCATCTCTGGAAAAAGAAACCCCTTTTCTGGTGCTAATTTTAAGTCCTCAGAATCCTGTAAACATCTTACATATGGGTTACTCAAGGTAAATTGATCACACTGAAAGGGGCTAGCATATATCTGGTCGAGTATGAGACAAGTGCACTAGCTTCCTTACAAGTCTTTTTTAACGACCTTCGATCGGTGGCAGTGTTTTCTATGGTATCCTCCAACTTATGGTTTTGCTATCTCAGTAGGAGTTTCATCTGTTTACATTTCAACAATCTTGTCACTTGAAGTAGGACAAGGACCTTTTTGAGATGAAGATGCCCCCTGATTTGTTGCAACTTCAATATCTAGGAACTGCCCTAATTTACCCAAGTCTTTGATTCCAAATTCCTTTCTTAAGTGAGACTTTAGTTTTCCTATTTCTTCAACTCTTCACCAGTAGCTACAATGCTATTGACATATACAATCAGTTAAGTCAATTTACCTTGGTGGTGAGAATGTTTTGAGAATAAGATATGGTCCTTTTGACTGTGGTAGCCAAATTCTGCTATAAATATTGAGAACCTTTCAAATCAAGCTCTCGGTGATTGCTTCAGCTCGCAAATCCAGGAGAATATCCAAATACACCTTGTCTTTTAAATATCCAGTGGAAACATATTTTTTCGGACTGTAAGTTGGAAACAAAGGATACCAAAACCTAGATGGAATCCATCTTGGCTACATGAGAAAAATGTTTCTCTATGAATACCTCTGCCCTATGTTTCATGTGCCACATGCAGCCAACAATCTCTTTGTCTGGGTAACAGTCAACTCCCAAGTGCAACTATGATGAAGTGCTTTGATTGTCTTCCTCCATTGTCTCTATCCACTTGGGATCATTCAAATCATCCTGTAGAGTTTCCTGTAGAGTTTGGGAAGTAAACTGAAGTTAAACTAGAGGAGCTGGGATGATATGGAGGGTGAGAGAAAATCTGAGGAAATAAAATTAGAGATTGGGAATTGTTGGACAATAGGAATTGTAGAAAATGGCCAAATACGTGAGAGGTTGGGAATTGTTGGACAAACATTGACTAGGTATTGCATGCAAGGACCCCAGAGGGCATCCTACTGATCAGTTATGTGCAGTTAGTACAGCACCCCCAGTATTAAACTGATGAATCCGTAGTAAACAAGAGAGATCTTATAACATGTAAAAGGCAACAATTCTTACCATCAGCAACCGCATATTATTTACGAGTATAAGATAGTTTTATGGATAATGGACAATATCTTCATATATTCTGCCCATTATCATATTGGGGACTTGGATTCTAGAATTTAACTGGGTGAGGATTGTGGACCATGTTATGATAGACTTGAAAGAGAGAGAAAACCTCACTTTTGTTTGTAAGCACATAAATTCAAGTTTTTTGAGAATAGCCATAAATAAATGTCACAGGGCATTGTTAGACCCATATAAATTAACAGGAGGACCCCACACATTAGAATTAACTAAGAGAAAGGGAACTGAATTTTGATCAATAGTAAGCATTCGAGCTTTGCAACTTGACATATATCACGGTGAAGTTAGGTACCTCCAATTTAAAGGTCAATAAAGGAAACATTTTATTTAAAAGTGAGTAAGCAGGGTGTCCTGCAATGTCACTACCAGATCTCTTTGAAGGAAATGCAATTCTTTGACTTATGCAATTGAAAAAGTATCATTGGGTTTCCATTTTGGAAGAGCTGTTGCCTTAGAGTTAGCGACCTGTATATAATTGAAAGAGGTTTGCGATGCACTTAAGATAGTGGGGCTGTACCTAGCTGAATGAAAGGATGTGGAAATAGCGGATGTCCCTTGATAAGACATACAATGTTGGATCTGTCTCAATTGGTCCTGATAGTTTATATGTGGAAACTTTGGCGTTAATGGACGAGGAGCGACCTAAGACGGTATATCCACCATAGTGGTATGGTGAGCTCAAGTTCATACCAAGACTTACTGAATGACCTCCATTTAAAGAATCCCCTCTACTTCCGTATAAAGGTTTTGCAGGGAGCTTCCTACATGTCTCTTGAGTATATCATCAGATTGTCTTTCACGTGCTTTTCAGCGTCATTGGCAATATGATTCTCTTGAGGGTGCACACAATAGAAGCTAGAGTGGAATGCCAGCTGTCTATCCTGTTTCTGTATAGAATTGCAACTATGTTATGTCATGTCACGTCATATGTGGGAATGGCCTGTGATTTAAAATTCTGAATGTGACTGGGTTTGTCACAATCTTTTGTCTACGCGGTACTACAAGTGTTTTTTATGATCTGTTAGGACTTGGAATGTGTATAGTTATGGTATGGAGACAATGCATGTTTAGCAAAAATTATCTGTCTTTATTTATATATAGAATGAAATGTGTATATTTTGACAGTCTACTAAGCACCACATCGAATGAAATGTGTATTTTCAGGTGCAACTTGCAAATCCAAAGCAGCTTGGCGATCACTATGCTTCCAAACATCCCAGAGAAAAGCCTCCAGCTGAATCAGAATGACCCCTATCTCATGTGGAATACAGTATGACAATAAAAAACGAAGTAAAAAAAATCCTTTGCTGTGTTTTATGACGCGTATCAGAAAGTTTGTTATACATTGACTTGTGTTAAATCTCTCCAGCTCCCTTCGCGAACGTTGTATGACTATGAAGGATGATTGTTAATGTTGTCATATCTAGAGTTATGTGAGCTGTGAAATAAATTTTTTGTCCATTTTATACCATATGCCTTTAACCACCGCTAGCTTGAAGTTTCTACTGGGAGACAGAATGATACTAATAGAAACCAGAAATTTTGTGCTGTAGCCCCAGGTTGAGTATTTAATTCTCTCCCTTGTTAAAGATTTTTCGTGTCCCTTGGGGATGTATGTTACCAAGTGAAAATTAGCCTCTTTCGAGCATTGTTGGTTTTAAAACCCAAATTGTTTTCAGGTGGCAAAACCTGTCAAGTTTTCAATATCTCTGGGCAACTTTGAATTTGACTGTTGTAGAAAAAGTTTGGTACCCTAATGACTAGTGTTCTATGTTTTGTTCTCTATTTTGAAGCCCACAATGAGAAAGAATCAGATATGCTGAGATTACTTGCACAATACTATGGCCGGATGAGATCTTTGAAACCATTGAGAACCAGCTACTCACTGGTCTAGCTGATAATCATCTTCCACAAGAGGAGAAGAGGCGTTTCGAAATTTATGTTATTGTGAAAGCTGACCAGGTTCTACTGATAGGATTTCAGATTTGCATAAACAGTCTGATCGGCCTTGCTACTCTTGTTTGTTTTGCGTTATAAACTCAAATATGTCACAATCCTTTATATATAGATCATTGATTAACAAAAGTCCAGCATGAGCAAGTGCTAGAAGAGGAGATCAAAAGTATCAAAGCGACAGAAAAGCACCAGAATTAGATAGTTACATCGTTTGATTCTGTATAAAGCTTGGAATATTGTGGTTAAGGATTTCCACAGCTATCAAATCCTTCAATACTAAACGCATAAGCGAAGTTAATGACACCAATTGGCTCATGGTCTATTGGTATTTCTTTTCATAATGTTCGGAGATGTTACAAGTTTGAATTGAGAAACATAATTAAATTAAATCTGGAAACAATTTGTTTTTGGATACGAATGCCGTATCAAAATCGTGCGAAATTATTTTAAAATATAGCGGTATTCATTACAGTGTGGCCATAATCCTAGTAGGTTTAACTTGATAATGATCCTCCACAGGCTCCACAATCATCATCCTTTCAG